CTTAACTCTGACGGCAGGTAAGAGTTTAGAGAACACATGTAAACCTCCCCTCCCCTCCCCAGAAATAAATAAATAATGATCAACAATAAAAATACTGAACTCAACTCTGACGGCAGGTACGAGTTCAGAGAACACATGTGACCCCCCCCCCTCCCCCGAAATGAATGAATAATAATCAACAATAAAAAAACTGAACTCTTAACTCTGGCGGCAGGTAAGANCCCCCCAGAAACGAACACATGTAAACCCCCCCTGCCGTCCCCATAACAAAATAAATAATGATCAACAATAAAAATACTGGACTCTTAACTCTGAAGACTATTAAGAGTTCAGAGATACCCCTAGAATACGACATAGAATCCGACATAACCCCAACTCTGACCGAACTCTGAACTTTCTCTGAAATCATGGAAATATTCAAGAGTTCAACTCTGAAGTCAGTCCGCTAGGGATAGAGCGGATAAAATTTTGTCGTGGATTCCCAACAGCACCGAATGGACATATTCGAATGGAACCTGCTTCGTTATACACATAGGAAGACGGAGTAAGCAACTAGTTCCCTCTTTATGATGCTCACCGTCGATACAGAGTAAATACTCTTCATCACTTCGCGGTCGATTCCCTATGCTTCGAAAAACCATAACTCCTCGTCGAATAAATTCACCAGTAATCCAACATCTTGATTATGGACAACGTGCACCATGACTGACATGTTCTAACATTAGATTTTTTAACTTGGTTTCATTGGTTTCCATTCATTATGGAATAAAATGCCTTTATCAATGGTTTCGAGAAATTCATTAATAAAATCGTCGAAAAATTCTTTTGGATTTCTGGGTTTAGACTTTCCCCTCCAAACTGCAACTACTTCTGGTTTTGATCCCGTAATATTAGCGATGCGGATTTGGATTGGCCAAATTTGAACTTTTCCAGTTTTACCCAGAGTTGCCCCATCGGTATTAAAATCAATCAAGAGAAGATTTGGAATTAATGGAATAGGAGTTCTGTCGAGTATTGCCAAGACTGCACTCTTAAATCCCAGATACAAATATTCCCCCCCCCCCCCCCCCC